GCTGTGCAATTCCTTAGCCCAGGAGGTTATGAACGTGAAAAATTTCCATAGGCTTAAAAGCAAAATCAAATTGCAATTAATTTAAAAGATCTACGGAAGAAAAAGAATCTTTCTAGATTCTTATTATTGTTATGTACCACTTCTAAAATTTAAACTGAAAGTCATCTCTGATTCAGTAAGACTGGGCTCGTTGGAGGCTGGGGCAATAGTAGCAGTAGTTAGAGGCTCATGATGGGCTTTCCAGTTCTCTTGCATGACTGAATTCATGTTTCCCATCGAGAAGTGACATGTAGTTAGCAGATTATTGCAGGGACCATCGTTTGGGATTTGTTTTCTTTAGTCATGCAGAAAGTTAATGCCCATCTGGGACAAGAAAGTCAATGCAAAGGTGATTGGTTATAATGAGACCAAACTGGACAAACCAGGAGAGAACATGTAGGTGTAACTTCTGCTCAGGCTGTCAGTGGGAGAGTAAATCTCACCTGACAGCTAACTTACAGCCCTAACTTCTGGGAAGATGGAAAGTGCCTGGTGATACCAAAGTGGAGTGAAAAGAGTTTCTATTCAAAGCACACCAGGTTACCACTGTGATGGGACTGGGTGATACCTTGGCTTAGCCTAACCTTTGGCTTGCTGTTATCCGTATGTAGGTAGTGAGAGGAAAAAGAGCTCCCCGAGGTTTATCAGGCAACAAATGGGTATCTTCACATCTGAATGTGGAGTTGGAGAGCAAAACTCTGGAGGACTTTTGGGCAGAAGAGACCACAAGTGATTGCATTTGTTAGGAGGTGTTCAGTGTGAGTGACAGATGTGCTGAATGCCAGATGTGCTGTGGGCTTTTTCTCTGACTTGTGAGTTCACCTGAGTTAAGGCCATGCCCTGAAAGCAGCCTACTGCCATTGATTTCATTCCTCAGCCAAACCCAGTCATATCTCAAGAGCCAAGACAGAGCTCTGGAGGTTCATCTTTATTCACAAGGGGAAGTTATACTCTACTGCTTCCTAGATAAGCTTTGAAGGTATAATTTCTGTAAGCGTAGATATAGCTCAAATAAATGTTCTTTGAGCTCTAATCTGCCAGATCTGCAAACTGCTGTATATCTGTGCCTGATATGAATTGCCATGTTTTGTGATTATTAACCTTTTAAAGGGAGAGGAAATGAGGTCCTGAGCTTTGATCCGCATTTATGAGTGACAGTGGGAAAGATTACCACCACCTGTAGCTGTGCTGGGTTGTCCTACACTGCTGCAGCATGGACTCTGTCAGCATCTCTGGCCACAGTTGTGGCAGTCAGGCATGGCCTGCCAAGAGCAAGAAGAACTGTATGGTGGACACCACCCCAACATCAGCTTCTATTACCCCCCAGAGCTCAGAGAGCTGTGGCTGGTACAGTCAAGACACTTGGCTTGCAAAGAGGGAAGTCTGAAGTGTTGGATGTGAAAATCCAAGCTCCAGCACATTGCTGACAGCCTCCAGCTTGTTCCTTGACCATACTCCTTCAGCAATGCTTCAGGAGCCTGCTTCAAGGTGGAGAGAGTTGGCTGCTAGTAATTACGCTAATTGCATGGCTCATAGAGGAGTGTGAGCAGTTAGAGGTGCTTATCTGAAGGAGACTTAAAAGGCAGCTTCATTAGGGTTGTAAAGGAGCACTCCAGAAAAAGATCCTTGGCTCCAGAGAGCACTTCATGAGATTTTAAAGCACTGATGCCTTTTCCCTCCCATGGATACAGGTGACTGTGACCTTGGAAGAAGAGTGCCATCTTGCATTGAAGCTGGAGTACGATTTTGAAGTATCTGGGCTGAAACCAAATCTCTTTGTCTTTTTTTCTTCTGGAAAAATATTGTGCTTCAAAGACTTCCAGTTAGGACTCAGTCATAGCTCAGGAGAAGTGTGCAGTTTGCCAAGGCAGCAGTAAGTGCTAAGGCACAAATATATGCCTCTTGTCCTGCTAATGTAAAGGCTTCTGCAGAGGTCTCCCACGTAGATATAAACCAAACTGCTGCTTTAATGATGAATTGTGACAAAATCCGTCCTGGGTGATAGGACTATGCTCAAAATAGTATGAAGCAGCTGAGGACCCTGGGTTTGCTGGGCACAGAGCAAAGGAGCCCGAGGAGAGGCCTCATGGTGGCCCTAAAGGTCCTCGTTGCCCTGTAGCTCCTCATGATGCCCCTATAGCTCATCGTGATGGCCTACAGCTCCTAACAGTGGATGGGTCTCATGCACAGGGTGCATCCGTGGGTCATTGCTACCATGGAAGAGGACTGATAAATAAGTTTTCATCCTTCCTGTAGATACCCAGTGCAACTGAGAGAACAATATTTATGATTAATTAATGGAGAAGCATTTAGCCAAACATGTCACCAAACATGATTTGGTCCTGCAAAACATACTATCATCTTCCTTCCATCTATTAAAGCCAAGCGATGCCACAGGGAAGACAGGGATTTCCCTTCTCCAAGTCCTACTACAGCTGATTCTACCCAGAAGTAGTTTTCTGAGATATTCATCTGTCAGTGATATGACTGAATCATAGAATCAGTCTGAGATGGAAGGGACCCTTAATGCCCATCAGGTTTATTGCAATGAACAGAGACACCCACAGCTCAATCAGGTGCTCAGAGCCCCATTCCCTGATCTTGACTGTGTCCAGGGCTGGGCATCTACCACCTCTCTGGACAACCTGTGTCAGTGCTTACCCTTATTGTAAAAAAACTTCTTCTTTATATCCAGTCTTAATCTCCCCCCTTTTACTTTGAAATTGTTTTCTCTTGTCCTATCATAGCAGACCATGCTTAAGAGTGTCTCCTTCTTTCTTACAGCCCCCATTTAGATACTGAATCTTCCCCCCAGTAATTTGCCAGAGTATGATCTATAAGTTTTAGAGAAAGAAGACAACTTTCTCTAAAGCTATTTCATTAAGGCTTTGGTGTCCTGGACAGGCACAGACTTTTCCCTGATGTTGTAAGGGACTGACTGCAGGGCATGCAGTAATTGCTTGTGTTACTCAGTGCTAAGCAGCTTGCAATTCTCAGATCTTTAGATTGTTATAATTCATTTAAAGGGTGAATGTCTATTCTTTCTGTTGTGCATTTCAAATAAAATCATCATAAATTATTCAAATCACTTAGGCTTTGTTCTGCCTTAGACCTATGATGAGTGAATTGTATCTCACCGATCTTCAGGTGCCTCAAAATGAGATGTTTAAACTCAGGTTGTTCATTCAAGCCCTCTTCATTGGAGAGGACACTTCCAAAGAATGATTTGTTGGCTCTTCAGATAACTATTCTAGGGTGACATCTTTACACAACTAACTACTACAGGCATAAAAATAGGGATATGAACTCCACCTTTGAAACCTGGACCCTTCCAGGCAGCCACGCTAATGGCATCATGCAGTAAGAAACATTGTGCTAAAAGAGCTAATAGGGCTAATAGGTGGGTAAGAGAGATCATTTCAGAGGCAATAATTATTAAAGGTCCATTCTGTGTGTCTTCACCTTATTTTAATCACAGGGAGCTTCTGTTATGAAAACACCTGTGAGATTTCTTCATGCGTTACAAGTGGAAGTGATGAATGCTATCACAGAAAAAAGACAAGGGTCAGAAAAATTCTCAAAGCGGGTAATTCAGAACATTTAGCAAGCTGTCTGATGCTAACACCTTGCATTTCATTATTATTTTGCATTATAACCTGTCCTGGGGTAATGGGTGCATGTTAATTTATTGATGGTGATGGAGGTGAAGATTGTAGACCATGAACGGTCCTGGCAAGAAATCATTTATTTTCCAAGGGCAGAATACTTACTATCTTAATGTTATTGGAGCTGCTGGCTGTTTGGTAGCAGATAACTATGATGATGGAAAAACTGAGCTTTGCAACTGATACTACAAATCAGAAAATTGGATTTTAATGACTGCTACAGAAGAGCGTGCATGTAGAAGATACCGTTGGTTATTCCGTGTTTTAGGCTCTGATAAACTCACCCTAGGACTTTGAAAAGTTCGGTTTGCTCATGAAAGAATGAAGGAAAAGCTTGTGAAATAACTTTGAAAGTTCTTTTTTCAGCTTCAAAGCATTTTTATGTGCTCCCTTTATTGATCTGAGACAGCAAGCTGCCTCGCTCTGAGCAGACTTGATGATGACACCAGCCTTTTTCTCAGCAGAAGGGCTAAAAGATGACTTAAAGGAGGAATTGCAGATCAGGCTATAATTACTAAGAAGTGCAGCTTGGCAGTGGTTTTCGTAGTTCCCTTTACTTGCATGTGGAAAGTACTTTCTTCAGGCTTTCTTCTTCATATTCCAGTTTCTCTTGTTAGGCTGTTGACCTTAACAGCAACACTTTGGGGGAGCGTTGCAATGTAATGGGATGTGACAAATAACCATGGAGTAGAGGTGCTAGAAAGAAGTGACTTTTAGGGAGGTATGTTGACAACCCATTTATCCAAGCCAGTTATCAAAGTGTCTGTCTGTGGAAAATTGAGGGGGGAAAAAAATTAAAAATAAGGTTTTCAAGATTCTGATATGAACTTTAGAATTCTTAATACATTGAGGCAGAAACTCGTCTGACATTGTTAATTGCTATCTGCAAACATGTGTTGTCTTCAGCACTAATACTGCATTACTCAATCCTGTGGCACATATGTGATATCATTAATGTATTTTGAGAAAGCAGAAATGAAAGGACAAAATGAGAACAGTGTATTGCAGCTGTGCAGAAAGAGCATGCCTGGCTGTATTTTTACCCAGAAAGTATTCATTCTATTCAAAAAATCACGTTGAATTGCAATAAAATTATCAGGCTCTTCCCTAAAGTTAGCTCTGTTTGCTACGCCTGCATTCCTAGCTCAGATGGGGCTTCATGTCATCTTCCTCTCCCTACTAAAAGATGCTTCCGCTGAGACTCAGTGCAGAGTTGCTCTCCTATGCTCCTTACAGCAGATACCAGGGAGTCACTCATTCATGCTTGTTCTACCATCAGCTTTTCTCTTTCTCCAGGTTGCAGAAGGCAGTGGGACAACATCACGTGCTGGCCTGAAGCGCAGGTGGGAGCGGTTGTGGTGAAGCCATGCCCAAAGTACTTCAGGTTCCTCACCACTTTTCTTGGTAAGACAGCTCGTCTTGGTGAAATGTTTTTATGGCTTCGCTGCCTCTAGGATTTCACATTGTATCACAGGTTATAATCACATTAAGAATCATAGATCGTTAAGCTTCGAAAAGACCTGTGAGGTCGCCAAGTCCAACCTTGGCCCAGCCCTTCCATGGCCACCAAGCACATCCCTCAGTGCCACATCTCCATCGTTCTGCAACACCTCCAGGGATGGTGACCCCACCACCTCCCTGGGCAGACTGTGCCAAAGCATTACCACTCTTTAAGAGAATAAATTCTTCCTTATATCCAACCTGAACTTCCCCTGGTGCAACTTAAAGCCATTCCCTCTTGACCTATCGCTGTTTATCCGGGAGAAGAGGTAACTTCCTGGGAAGAACAGACTCAGTAGGTCTAAGGATTTACATGAAGTAAATAAGGTTTCCAAGCCATATATGGATATATACCATTACCATTACCATACCAAACCATTAGATCATCCTCCCCATCTTCTTCCAGCACAGTGCACTGTGTCATAGGGGTGCAAAAGCAGCTCCTGAATCCACTAATTGAGCGATTGTGCAGCAAAAGCTTAATCAACTTCTGTAATAGTATGTTTGTTGTTCAAAATGGACAGCTTAGTGCTGTCATTAATTAGGTCTCTGACATAAAATAAGCAAGCTGAAACTGTATGTAATCAAGTTTTTTTCCACTGAAATGACTAATTTGATCAGTAGCCAAAAAATTAACCTGACAAACAATGGGCAGGAGAGGTTAATGGAGAAAGCAGCTTAACGCACAAGTTAGCATATTCTGGGAAGCTTTAATTTAAAGCTCAGATCTCAGGGGCAGTGCAGCAACAGGACTCTCTGTCTCTTCGTAGTCGTTATTTACCATTTTTATTATAGTAGTTCTGCAATCCTCCACAGAGAAAGAAGAATTTTGGCACTGGACAGTATGCACCAAGCTTCCACAGGGTTACAATGCAAACACACGTGATGGGCTATGAATAGGAGTAAGGATACAATAATTTCTCTGTTTAACAGAGCAGGACATGACACTGAACCAGAACACATTGATTACGTGACTTGCCCAAAGCCACACCAAAATCCTGGGCAGAGTCAGAGGGGAAAACCAAAAGTCCTGGATTCTTATCCTAGTGCTGTGACCTCCCTGAGAAGTTTATCTCATACTTCATTCCACCAAAGCAGATCAATGAGGAAAGCATGATGCACGTATACATGCATACGTATATAGATACATGTGTGTATGGCATCCGAATCTTCCAGTCACTGGAGAGTTAACTGGTTTGGTCAGTGATGGCTGAGACATGATTAAACTCATTATAAATCAGCTACTTAAAGAGACCAGATGAATGCTATCATGAAAATATACCTGTTCCTCCTCATTTTGTAAGGTGAAGCATGGAGACTTGCTTCACTGGAGAAAGGAGATTCTGCGTTTTTTATATCTGCTGTTTGTAATGCAGGTTTCTATATGAGATAGGATTCCATTCATATCACAGAATCATAGAATGTCCCAAGCTGGAAGGGACCCATAAGGGTCATCGAGTCCAACCCCTGACACCATATAGGACCTATCAAAAATCCAACTGTACGTCTGCAAGCAGCGTCCCAATGCTCAACAAGCTCTGACAGCACAAGGCTGTGCCCAGTGCCCTGGGGGGCTGTGCCATGCCCAATATCCTCTGGGGCAGGATCTCTTCCTGACATCTAACCTGAACTTCCTCTGAACAGCACTTTAGTCATTGCCACCAACAGACATGTATTTAGAAGTGTGAACAGCTCTTTGGACTCTAAACTCACAGATGGGCACCTACTTTATAGATGCTGAGGAAAGCCATTCAGTTTCCTAAACTGGCATCCAGTGCCATTTCAGATACCCTTAGGGGATCCAAGAAATCCGTGAGGTTGCTTCAACTGACACTAAGATATTGGTATTTAAGAAGCTTCTTTCTAACATGGAATAGTGTTCATATTGATTTTAGGGTCTTCCATAGTCAACTGAGCATGTTTTACAGTGATGAGGAGTAGGCTCAGTTCAGGTGACCTTTAGACACTAAGATGAATTGAATAACATCTTAAAAAAGCCTCTTTCCATTTGCAATTGAATGACTGTGGAATGGTAATGACAGCACAAATGAATCCTGCCTTTGCAGACAATATATGTAAGCATCTCCCTCTGTGCACAAAGAAACTGATGCTGTTTTGAAAGCAAAAACAACAGCTTAATAGTGGACAAGGGACAGAGGAACCCTCATATTGTGGGAGGTGGTGGAGTCATCAGCCCTGGAGGGGGTTCAAGTAACATATAGAAATTGTGTTGAGGGATATGGTTTAGTGAGAACTATTGGTGGTAGGTGGACAGTTGGACTGGATGATCTTGGAGGTCTTTTCCAACCTTGGTAAGTCTATGAATCTATGATTTGTTTTTCTCTGAGCTATGCACTTTGTACAATCATATGCAAATGACAGAAAGCAGATATGAGCATAATTAAAGCGAAGGGAAGTTTGCATCTTGTTCTGCAGAATTTCTTGCAAAATAATGTTATTAAATTTTGTGGAGCAGTTCTTCCTTTGTAGTAGTGAATATCACTGAATAACTTCCAAGGAAATCAATCATCTGGTAAATGTTTATGTCTTACTTTTTGATCCCTTTGCAGTAACATGAAAGCTTAGACCAAAGTTGTGAGCAGTTACAGATCTCTGAATTCAGAGCTAGAAAACAGAGTGAGTTTGGGAAACAACGAGTTAATGTGATTTTCTTGCTCAGTGGAAAATATGCTCTTCAAATGACTAATATATCTCATGGTAAATAAAGGATAAAATATCTGACGGCATTTAGAAACCTTAAAATGCCTATCATACTTCTGATGTCATTTGACATTAAATTTTTATGCTACTCACAAATCCAGAAGATTTTCATTATTTTATGACATTCGTCAGTACCATGTGAAGGAGATGCATGAAAATATTTTTGGCACCTTTCACTATTAAAGTGCACTGTTTGCTGTCTCTTTACCAGCATATTCTAGCTTCTTTTCAATACATAGAAGGTGACATTTGTAAGAGGGATTTGTGCCCTGCAAAAGCAAACTGTCCACGCTGCAGTTAGCAGTAAAAAGACTGGCACTGATGGTTTTTTCTAGGCTTCAGCCATGATATGTTATGGGAATAACCAAGATCCACTCAATGAAAGTGAGAACCTCTTCTCCTCCAGTGCTCGAAAATTCCTTCCACTCTTCTTTCCTTTAATTTTTCCACTGCTCTATGAAGTAGTTGAGAGTTGACACTTAGGATGTCAGCTATAGGTGGGCCAAATCTGCCCATCCACAGACATTAAGTAGAGTTCTCAGATTGATCTGAATGATTTGTGTGGTTAATATCATTGCAAGATTTATGCCAATACTGACCTATCTTTAAAGAACTGTATGACTGAAATTGTTCAGTCTGGAGAAGAGGAGTCTCAGGGGAGACTTCATTCTCTACAGCTGCCTGAAAGGAGATTGTGGTGAGGTGGGGGTCGGCCTCTGCTCCTGCATAACAGCAAAAGGACAAGAAGGAATGGCCTCAAGTTGCACCAGAAGAGGTGCAGGTTGGATAGTAGGAATAACTTCTTCACTAAAAGAGTGAATGGGATGCCCAGGTGGTGGAATGCCTGGAGGTGTTCAAGGAACATGAAGATGTGGCACTAAGGAACATGGTTTAGTGGGCAACATTGGTGTTAAGTGGACAGTTGGACTAGGTGATCTTAGAGGTCTTTTCCAACTGTAATGATTCTATAATTCTATGATTCTATTTTATGAAATTCTTTGGGTTTAAAATCTTTTAATCTTTGATTAACTTAAGTTTATAACAGCATTATAATTCAGAATCTGACCCCAAATCCCTTTTCTGCATAAGTGGAGCCCCAAGACTTGTCTGAAGAATTACGGATCTTATTATGTTACAGTGGATGTAACATCCATCGTGAAGATTAAGTCTTCATTTGGTTTTAGATCTTCACTCTATCATTTTAAATTTACACATTCATAATCTTCTGTCAGATCATTTTTTCTTCTGAATTTAAAAGACATCATTCTCTCTGTGGCATATTTCAATTCAGCAAATATCAATCAAGAACTTTTGTGTTATCTTTTGTCATTCTGCTTTTTTATATTGTGCCCAAAGTTATTTTAACTGCTGTTTGACCCTAGGTACCTCTTGCATGCATTAAACAAGACACGGTTCATATCATTCCTGGCCTCTGACTGATGTCCCATTAATAAATTTAGTATGATGGGCAGCAGTCTTTTTGATTCACTTGCAGAGAGCTTTGGAAACGGCACCATTTCTCCATACCTCTGCTTTGAAAGACATTGACTGATCCCTTCTAGCATTATTTCAGTTCATTAGAGCAGAGGCAATAAAGTCAAATCCATTGGATGTCTGTCATTTCCTGTTAAGGTGCAGGTCTTAATGGTGCAGTATCCAACTATCAGAGGACAGTTCTGGCAATCTGCACAGAGAAAAGAGAAGAGCTCCCAATGAAATAACAGGAGAATGAGCTACCTGCAGGTATTGAAGCAAGTAGTTAAACACACTACTGCAGGTAGCTTCATTGATGTCATCTGCAAGCTTGCCCTGAAAGGAGTCCTTCAAAGCACCTGAATCCCTGTTGTCTTCGAGTGAGTCTTGGAGCAGAGTATAGCAATGTCCTGGGATAGTCAATGGAAATTTGTAGGTAGGATATGAATACAGCAAGGGATTTTTCATAAGTATAGAATTGAGAGTCCTTCCACCTAACAGTAGGCACTTTATGGTTAAGCATCCAAGCTAAACTCCTTTCTAATTTCTCCCTCAAGCCAATGAGAAAGAGAGGCACTTGCAGGGCATGGGTTGTCCTGTAACATGCCTTAAAAAGGCATGACCTTTGGAGGTGTGATATGGCCTCTTGGGAACCTATAGTGTCTGCTATAGACTAGAGTCCCTATGTTTCCATGGCAAAAGCTAAGTGA